CCCCAAAACCCCAAAACCCCAAAACCCCAAAACCCCAAAACCCCAAAACCCCTTCCTTCTTTGTCCAAGTTGAACCCTTTATAATTCCTTTGAAACTTAATACAAAATCCTTATCTTAAGCCATTTCTGTATGCTTCTTTCTTTTCTTTCTCTTCTCTCTTCTTCTTCTTAACAAACGCTCTTAGCTTGCCTATCTTCTCTTCCTTGTTTTCATTAAAGTCAAATCCGAATTTCTTTCCATAGCGAAGTTGCAAGAGGTAGTCGTCAAGAGATTTTTTGCTGATGCCAACTTTCTTGGCAGAGTCATCCAAACTAAACAAGATAATAAACATGCATAAAAGGAACCTTACCTGTATCTGGTAATATTTCCTGAAGGATTCTGAATTCCGTTGTAGAGCTTCCTCCACATGGACACTTTTTCAATTACGAAAGAAATATTGCGTTCCTTGGTCCTGATACAGCGTCTGCTCGAGGCATTAGCTGTGTTAGAGTCAGGGCCACCCATTGAGGGATCCAAAGAGGCTCTAGGAATAGGAGGAGTTATTTGTGTTGAAGAAATTTCATTTAAGCAAGGAGTAGTGATTGGAGAAGATCCATCAGTTGCACCCATTCCTCCTTCTGATAATTTTAATTTATTCTCTATTTAAAATAAAAATGGAGCTTACCAAGACTATAGCACAGCGAAGAGGACTCATTATTTAATGAAGAGACAGGAAGACTCTTCTTTGAGTAAGTATCATCTCCAGATCTAAACTTCAAAGCAAGTCTGTTGCTGCAGAGATTGCTCACTGATATTCCATCCTTCTCAAATGGGATAGGATCCTTCCCAGCAAATATGTACATCTGTTCAATGGAAGAATAGTAGGATACGATCATGCCTGTGACGTCGAAGCCTATTTCATGAAGTCTACTGCACACTGAAGAGAGGAGAATATCGCCTTGGGAGTTTTTAGCTACTCTAACATTCTTGATAAGCTCTTTGTCTTCTGATTCTGGCAACTCTAAGATTATATCAATCTAGACATCAACCATTAGTTTTCCTCAGAATTTATCATACCAATCAGCCGAGTTGGAACAAAAAGTTGGGTGATCATATCCCTAGAGGTGAGGCATCCTCACTTATCTTCTTATCTATGCCTTACGCCTCTAACAAGAATAAAAATGCTGCAAAAAAGACAGAAAGGTAAATATGAAAGTGAACTCCTCCTTTCATTTACTTGGAGAATAAGCCACTCATATGAATCTTCACTAAGCCTAACAAGTCAATCAGTCCTAAAAACAACAAGCTAACAGCTATTTACAAGCATGGCTTACATATAATGGCTTATTAGACTTTGTAACAAAGTCGCACTTTGCCTGCTCTTCCGATCCATTACCGATCTCCTGGTCAACGTTCTGCTGACTGTTCATATTGAATTTAATTTTGACTTGTTTTAATCAACATCGGGCTCTATAAAAGGGGTTTTGGGGTTTTGGGGTTTTGGGGTTTTGGGGTTTTGGGG